TTAAATTAGAAAAAAAAGTCTTCATGCACAGGTTTTTGAGAACAGTTCTTGGAATTCATACATGTAACAACTTATATGTAATGGTTTACTGACTGCTAAGCTGTAATATATTGTATGTGTAACTTTGATTACATAAAAAAAGCCTATTCAAGAAAATAAACATGTAGCCAGAAATATGTAATGTAATTGCACTAAGTTTAGGTAAAACTTAAAAAATCACTTTTCTTGTGTATGAATGAGGAAAAACAACTCTGTAGCAAATAATGATAGCTCTAGTACAGAAAGAATCTCTAAAGAATTAAAAGCATTGTATTTTACTAAACTTTAATGTTTAATGAAATTCATAACATACAAAAAATATACAAAGAAAAGTACACAACGAAACTATTAAATGGTCTGTTATAATCCAAACATATAATGTTTTGACATCAACACCGATTTTATGTAAAGCAATAACGAATATAATAACTTACACTGAATAAGGTTATAAAATTTCTAGTTGTAAGCATTCATGTTGGATTTGAAACCATATTTATCTTTGCAGCATGTAAACAAACCACTTTTCTCAGAACACTTTGTACCATTTGAAACATTTGGTTCACTTCTTCAAACTTTTATACAACACACAGCTCATCTCACTGAATGATTCACATTACTGGACAGCAACAATACATTGGTTTGCAGGTACCAATTGTCACATTGGTTATATAACTGATTGGTTAATTAGTTTGGTAAATAGCTGAGTAACTGGTTGGAATCTGTAAAACAAATGCTCACATATATATAAACATTCAAGCAACAAGTTTCACAATTCACTAATTATCTACATGTTTAGAACCACGTGTTTGTGACACCATTTTTATTTCTTTTGACACAATAAAAATCACCATTTCTCTATCATACATTCCAACCAACATTTTCCTTCCATTTTATTAGTGTAGTTTACAAATCACAAAATTTCACATACATTGACAAGTGCATACATGCACTGTACAAAAAAGTGCAATTTTCAATGTCATTTATGGCTCAGTAACTCTCAATAAACATGATGACATTCCATTTTTATTTTAGTAAGAATATATTACAACCAGTACAATTACTCGTACATATTAATAACCAATAAATTGACAAGTAAAGAAGCAGAACTCTGGTTTTAGTATTCGTTCTGTCAATGAATGTGTTTTCTAATATAAAGTTCAAGGTTACTTGCCACAGAAACTCTGATATTTCCATCAAATTTGCTCAATAACGCTGCATAATCTTAAAATTTTCTACCACTTCCAACCCTTTCACTATTATAACAGACATGGCTGGGGACGGCTTGAATGGGTAATGAAGAAAAACTTCATTACTATTAACATGTGATTCCCATGGAATAACCATCCTTTATAGTGTGATAAGGATCCCTATTGAATATTATACACACCATTTAAGATTTATTGTTAACTTCAAACATAGAAATGATTGAGAGGGTGGAAATTGGGGGACATCTGGGTGCAAGTTATCATTGCTCTATTAAGTTCAGTGTTTTGCTGCATATGGAGATAAGGAATAATGATATTTTGGTTACAAATTTCAAAAAAAGCAAATTTTGAAGAATTAGCTGTTATGAATTGGGCAGATGAGTTATTTGGAGACACTGACAAGATGTGGAAAATATGTAAAGATAAATTTTTAAATATTCAAGGTAAACATATTATTTATAGAAAGAAAAAGGTAGCTGCAAGTAAAAAACTAGATTGGCACTCAAAGAGTATAACAGTGAAAATTAAAGAAAAGTATCATAAATTTAACAAATTTAAATTGACTGGTATGATGGGGGGATTAGAAGGTTATAGAAGTTCAAGAAAGTTGATAAAACAGGAAATTAGGACATCAAAAAGGATGTATGAGAAAAGGTTAACGGGAAATGTAAAAATTAACAGAGGATTTCTTTAAATACATTAAAGGTAAACAAAATGATAGGATGTAAGGTAGGACCCTTGAGGGATGATAAAAGAAGGCTTATATCTGATGATTATGAGATGGTTGGGTTATTAAATTTTGCTTTTTCTTCAGTTTTTACTGACGAAGATTTAAGCAGTATTCCACATCTTGAACAGTTGATAGATGGAAACAAGACAGAACAAGATGATTGCATTAATTCTGAGCTGGTTAAGAAAAAATTGGGAAGTTTAAAGAATGATAAGGCTCCTCGGCCAGATAATATTTCCCAAAGGGTTTTGAAGGATGTTAAGGATTGAATGTCAGCCACTTACTACTATTTTTTGTAAGTCCTTGAATAGTGGGCAGGCACCAGAGAATTGGAAGTTAGCTAGTTAAACTCCTCTTTTCAAGGGAAGTGATAAAATTTTTCCCAGTAATTATAGACCCATTAGTCTTCCATCAGTTGTGGGAAAAGTTTTGGAAAGTTTGAATGAAGATGCTTTGCAAAGCCATTTAACAAAGTTTAGAATTTTATTGGATATTCAACATGGTTTCACTATGGGAAAATCTTGCTTTACAAATCTTTTGGTATTTTTTGAAAAGGTTAATGCTTATGTAAATGAGAGTAAGAGTGTAGATTTGGTGTATCTGGATTTTCAGAAAGTATTTTACAAGGTGCCACATAAAATTCTTGTAAAAGAATATCCATATAGGTGTGGGGGATAAGTTATCAAATTGGATAGAAGAGTAGCTGGATGGAATAAAGCAGAGGGTTGTCACAAATGGAGTTCAGTCAAACTGAATTAATGTTATAAGTGTGGTACCTCAGGGCTCAGTCTTAGGAGTTTTTCTCTATTTTTGATTTACATCAGTGACATAGATGAAGAAATGGTCAATAAGTTACTTAAATTTGCAGATGATATTAAGGTCTTGGGTGTTGTTAGCTGTGAAGGATTTAGATCATTTAGTGATTTGAGGCAAATAAATAGTAAGTGAGTTTTAATTATAATAAATGCAAGATAATGCATAGGGAATATCATAATTTGAATTAATAAAACAAATTTTAGGATGGGAATAACCTTATTAGCCTCATGAAATAAAAGGATTTTGTTTTAATGGTTGATCAGTCTCATAAGCCATCCAAGCAGTGTGCTGTTGCTAGTGGTAGGTCAAATGGGATTTTAGGTTGTATCTATAGAAATATTGAAAACAAATCTAAAGATGTTGTAATGGCATTATATAGGTCATTGGTTAGGCCACATTTAGAGTACCGTGTTCAGTCTTGGGCTCCTTACCTTGGGAAGGACATTGATTGTTGGAAAGGGTTCAGAAAAGGGTTACTAGAATGGTGCCTGGTATGAAAGGGTTGTCAAATGAGAAGTTGAAATCTCTCAAATTGTTTAGAATTAGAGGGGATATGATTGAGGTGTTTAATATTATAAATGGAATTGATAGTGTTGATCCATCATCTTTTTCATAAACAGTAGGAATAGCAGACACAAATATAAATTTTGGCAGGGTAGGAGTCATCTTCAGCTAAGACAGTTTTATTTTTCTAACAGGGTGGTTGGCCTTTGGAATGGGTTGCCTTCAGATACTGTGGGGGCAGTAAATTTAGTTTAAGATAAGGGCTGGCTTTCAGATTGTTTTAAATAATAGTTTAGAGGATGGGAGAGCCTAGATGGACCAATATGTTCCATGTTGTCGCAAAACACTATGTTATGTTAGCAAAATAACCATATTCATCAGACTACAACAAAAATGTGACTGTGACACCTTTGTCTTCAGTTGGTATACTTGAGAACTTTTGGATCTGTCTGATCCTGATATTAAAACAACAACAATAAACATAAAACTTAAAACACCCAATCATAAAATATTTGGTAAAAGTAAAGAACTTCAACTTGGTTTCTTTAGTATTACTGAAATATTAATTTTTTTGTTGTAAGAAAATAACTTTAATAAGCAGGCAATGTATATATTGCATATAATGATAAAGCTTGTACTTACATTTTACATGATTTTTATTGGATAGATACCAAGATAATTTATACTTGGGATGAGCTAAAGAATTAGAATGATAATGATTAGCTGTTGAAAAATAATAGTAAAGTTTAAAAAAAATGTCAGATGGAAAAATCACATTTGAAGAGTAAAACAGATTATTTTTTGAGGTTAAAAATACTATTTTCATTTAAAACTTTTCATAAAGGTGTGACACACATTGAAATAGTCAATGCATGCATACCGAGTTAAGGCAGTGAGTTGAAAATTATGTTAATCTTCATGTCAGAAGATTTATTGAATCTGAAATTTAGAGATTTAATATCTAATAAATGACAAGACAGTATCTAGAAAACTTGTACCCCAGCAAAGTAACATATTTTTTGATGTTTAAGGTTCATTATTTTATAAATATAAACAGGTAACTAAAATGTTAAGGAGGATGTTATGCCAGCCAACGTATGTAGATAAATGATTCTAGCAGTTTCTTTGTTCTGTGTTGTGCTACTAGAGGTAATGGTTTACTCAATTTGTACCTAACGATAAAGTGTTTTGTATGTATTTGTAGAAAGCACTTTCTTAAGTTATGAGTTGTGTTCACTTTAATCTCCCAAATTAATGTGCTTCCTAGTAATATGCATACACAGATGGTTTAAGTTTAATAACAATTTTTGCATTCCATAAACTGGTTTTGGTTGTTTAATCATAATGTGTTTAACCTATTGGAAGTTACTGGATGACTGTTTGCTGCCACAATTTTTTTTTATTTTTTTATGATAGGTATATTTTAAGCTGTAAAAATATCATTGTAGTCATGCTGTGATGACTAGTGATTTTATTTACAGCTTTAGCATATAGTTGTATTATTGAAAAAATATGCTTACTATGCTCAGTAAATGAATACAAATACATCTTTTAATTATTAAACAGACTAGCTTTAGCCATTCGTTCCTATAAAATATGGTAGTTTATAAATATATTAATATATAAGACCTTAAATATATAAAGGGAGGCTCTCCAAATGTTTAGAAATTTTAGTGGTTTCAAGTTGTTGTTTTTTGTATATTTTAGGGCTGCAATAGAAGAGAATGAAGAAGATATTGAACAGCTTGAAGTAAAGCTGATAAAGGTAATTTTTCTTATTCAAGGTAGATAACACAGATGAAGTTAAATTGTTAACTAAGAATGAGCATGGATGAATTAGAAAAGATACTGGTCAAAATCTGTGTTATGTACATGTATTTTCAATTCTTGTTACAGTAATCACAGTTTTCGGTGTTTGTATTATCAAGATTTTGTCATCCTCAGGTACAAGTAATATTAGACTGTGAAGAAATATCCAGTCATGTGATCTCTTTGTTCTGTGCTGCATATATATATATATATATACTCTTGCATCTCTGTAAATTACTTTTATTACTTGTCAAAACATCATACATTTATAATACAGTTTTTTCCTAACCCAGTCAGGCCGTCTCAAAACTTTTATTTTTCTTAAAAGTGAGTTCCTCGTTATCAAATTTGATTGCTGTTCACAGCTGGTTTAAATATTCATATTCATGTCTCAGTTTTGAACTAGTAAATAAATGTTAGCTATTCACAGCTAATTTCAAGCCCTGATATTAGTATTTGATATATTTCATACTTTGTCATTAATTTGTATGTCTATTTTATTTTTACTATTCTTGCACAGTACATGTGAGTGTTTGATCTGTATTCTACTAATGTAGGCCCCCATTGGCACAGTGGTAAGTCTCTGGACTTATAATGCTAGGTTTCGATACCTGTGGTGGGCACAGCACAGATAGCTCATTATATAGCTTTTTGCTTAACTACAAACAAAGAAATTAATGCAGAAAATTCTAGAGTTTAAGGCATTATTGTATAACTTTTAATAAGCATTCCTTTTTATTGTTAAAATGATAATACACATCTTTTTGATAGATAATTATCTAATGCTTCTGTATTGAATGATTTGTGAAATATGTCAGCATGTGACTAGATTTGGGATTATTAGAGTATATAAATAAACATCTTTTTTTGTAGCTTGTGCGGTTATGCAATAACATGGAAGAATCAGGAAGAGCTTACCTTAACTCCAAAAAGTAAGTTTTTTTTTTTTCTATATTCAGATTTATTAATAAATTCAAAAAGAAACTGTACATTCAGAAATGTTACCCACTTCTCCACTTAATAAATAACTGATACCTTATACCAGTGCCTGAAAGTTTTGCTCTTACATCAAGCCTTTGAATTAAAGTGCCACCCCTATAAGTAATAATGTGCATTGCACCAGTCTATTTTGCAAACAGTGAAATAGTGTTAGTATATGGTGATATTTCTTAACCCTATTGCCACGGGTACCCTTTACTGCGCATGACACAAAGTTTTAGTGTCTTACATTCAAAATTTTATTAAACTACTTTTTATTTAAGTTATACCAATTAGAATAGCATAAAATCCTAGCTAATAATCCATATTTTAATAGTATACAAGTTTTAAGTTCTTAATTCTACACGACAATATTTAAAAAAAATGCTGAATTTCCACTATTGTGATCCACATGACACATTTTTTCTTAGCATGTCTTCATCCCTATTTTATCCACCACCCCTCAAAAAAGTACAAAATTATACATAAAATATTCTATAAAATGTTATTGCTCAAAGAAACAATAATTTTTAATTTGAGATAGGGTAGAGGAAATAACAGATAAACTATAAAGTTTAACTGATAATAAAAAATGTTAAGTGCCTTTAGTAGGTTTTAGGGATTACACAAAGGAAATTTGAGATGAGGAAAAGTATTTTTAATTGTAATATGAAAATTTCTTTTCACATGGGCTATTCAAAACAAATACTCAATATATTAATGGACAACTCTTTATTTTATTTTATTAAAAATACTTCACTAAAAAGTATGTTTTTTTGTATGTGAAAGACTTGTAATTCTAACTGAAAGACTGCCAAATTTTGAAAAGATATACACACTATATTGAAAGTTATAAGTAACAAATCTATAAAGACTAATCGAGTACAAAGAGATCATGTGGTTGGTCATATTGACTGTGTCCATGTTGAGAGAGTTAACTCTAAAACCTCCTAAATGCATTTCAAACTTTTTTTTTAGTTTATCTGTTATTTTCTCTACCCCTTTCATAAAATGGGATCGGTCAGTTTGACCGACCTCCTAACCACCAAAAAAAATCTAAGTAAACCTAAATTACCCTTTTTTCTTTCTATCCTAAGTAGCTCTAAGTACGAACCAGTATACATCTATTTGTAATTAAATTTTATTATTTTATTGCCCTTTGAACCATGTCTAACTACTATCCGTGCCATTATAAGTTGTAAAACACTCCGTGAATGTGCAACTCATCTTGTGCTAACGAAATACATTACCCATGAGCTGCTCATCTGTTTGCCTCATGAAATATTTTTATTATAATATTATTATTATTTATTTTACCTAATCTAATCTTAACAAACCCAAAAGGATCCATATTTTTACACTTTAGTTACTTTTATAATTATACATAAAGAGTTAATCAGGAAAGTCAAATTTTATTGTTTTTTTTTCTCTCTCCCTTTGTACTGAAATACTTCACCTACAAATATTTTATAGTTGCTAACTTCAGTGTTGGTCATGAGAAATATGAAGAAGAGTGATGGAAAATAACTTTATAAGATGTAAGATCAAATAAATACAAATAAAACTCAAATCTTATTTGTAAAGGATTTTTACCACAAAACTTGTATGTGTTAACTTGGCACACAGAGTACACATTATGTGACACATTATATTTGATATTTGACTAACAAGATTGTGAACATGATAAAATTGGCACAAACAGAAAATGACAGTTTATAAAATTGGTAAAAATACAATAATAAGAGATTCTCTATAAGTATTGGCACTTCAAACATACAAGTCATGGATGAAACATAAATATTGGTTTAGACTTGTTTTTGGGATAGTCTTAATTCTGATCTTTGAGCTCATGAGTGAAATATACTGCACTCATAACATATCTATGTGATTGCACAGATCTTAAATGTGGCTTAATTCCTCTTCTCCTTCCCATCTGAGTCATCTTAGTGTGGGATATCACAGTACTAAATGCAATTAGTGTTGTGGCTGCTGAAGATTGTGTTTCCTTAAGTAATATAAAATAGGATTTATCTATATAAACAATATTTATATCCTCAGAAAGCATTGTTAATGCTCAATTTTTTAAGTTTTATGAATATTTAACTTACAAAAAAATCAATCTGATATTACATAGAAATGTTCCAGTATCTATTGTATTCTCCACTGGTAATGATTATGAATGAATTCAATATTGTCACCTGCTTCATCAAATTAACTTCTATTGCAAACTCTCAGATTCTATACTGGAATTATCAACATGATTAACTCAACTGCAAATATAAAAAGACAAGATCCAGAAACATAATATTGAGGAATGTTTTTCTGAATGGAAGGGCTGCTAGAAATGACAAAAATTCAGGCCACTAAATCATTTAAGTTAAGGCACTGCACATTCCCTAATGTGGACACATTTAATGTTGCATGTTTTCCACCATACTTTTACAACTACCATGCACAGTTTGTGCCTTTAACATTTAGTGTGACCAAGTCTTTCATGAAGCACATGGTTAAACTGTGCCACTAACTCTCCAGAGGGCCTTTCCAAATCAGATCTTGTTGTTTTCCATAAACTGATACTTCGAAGTACACATATCAAAGTGACATGTACAGCATGATGTTTCTGCTTTTGTTTATAGTAGATAGCATGTTCAAAGTTATTTGCATCTCTTAAAACCATATTTTCATCCAAGTTCATTGTTTTGTGATGCAGTGAACCTTTTGAATTGTTAAGGACACCCACTCTTTGAATAATTTGGAAACTTACAATGCACATAAAAATGTTCAACTCATAACAGAAACAATTAACCATAAGTTGTGCAATTTGAATTGTCATATGAAAAGTTATGAGTAAAAATAACATTTATGCTTTTAAATTTTTTGTTAATAATGTAAGGCAAAGTAACAAAAAAAAGTTTATCATTAAGAGTTTTCTTTGAAAAAAAAAAGTTTGCACACTTTTTTCATGATTGTTGCTTGTTTTCAAAGGGTCCAAGTCAAACAGAAGTCTTCTTTGTTTCATTTTTTCATAAAACACTACAGAATTTACGATAAATAAAGAAAAAGGGCAAAATGAATCAACTTTGTTCATCTCATTTTTTATTCAAAAGTCTTCTTCGTATGATAAAAAAATCATTCATAAAAAGGAAAAAAAAATTGGAGATGTGGCTGCAAAAAAGGTAGTGAGTGGGAACACTAAACATGTATTTTTTTTACTTTATCTAAAGTTCAAATTTATATTCCATTACCAGATTTGTTTAAAACTTCCTGGCTATTTTCAAATTTCAAAGTTAACATTTGGTGCACTTGTTATTTTTTTGTGTGTGAAAATGAAATATAACAAATTAACTTTTACTGTATGTTTAAATGATGAATAACTCTTTATTGCAGCCTTTTTGTTAATGGAATTTGGGAGCTTGTAAATTATTTCAAGGGGGATACAGTGGTGGCGGTAAGATTATGCTCTTTATATTTTTTCTTTTATTGATATATTAACAATTTCTGAGTGTGAAATAATAATAATTTTTCTTTGCCCAGCAAGAAATATGTTTATACATTGATCATTCAATATGGAAGTTAGCAAACAAAATCTTAAATAGTTTATAAGTTTTTATTTCTTCTGGTATGAGACTGAATAGAAATTGAGGTATAATTCATACTTAGCGATAAAATAACTTCAGTAATGAAATATTTACTAAAATTATAAACTTTTTGCCTATTAGGCTTAAGGCTAGCTTGCTTTTATGCTAACACAGGCATTGCTCTAAGTATGTCATGCTTTAAGCTTATGAACTAATGTTTACATGTGTGTGTCCTGCCTTGTTTCTGTTGCATTGAAGCTTAGTATTCTGCAAATCTGTAAGTTTTCATACAGAGAGTTTATACTTTCAGTGTTGGGTTGGACAGTGTTCAAAATATTAAGTATATCTTTAAAAGTGTGTAACAGTGTACTTCATTTGTTCATGTAAAGGCTAGTTATTTTTTAAAGGTTCAGTAATGCTATTAACTCCAAGGTATTTTGATTAACTGTAGTGTATGAACAATGATACAATTGGAGATGATTTGTAATCTTTCAAATTATAGACTTGTGAGATTTAATAAGGTAGAAAAAACAAAATATGTGATAGCTTTTACAAAATTTTCTATATTATGAAATTATTTAATTGAAATAAAAGAGCTATAATATTGCTTATTTCATTTACAGCACTGAAGATACTATTTAAACAAATCAAACTGCACATGAAGCATTAGATTTACTGTTTACTACTTACTTTTGTTTTACACATATAAACTTCCATGCTCTGTTTGACTCTTAATTACTTATTAAGATAAATTGTTTCATGTTTTTTCAATTTCATGTGACAATCCATATAAAATTGATAATGTCCATAGCTCACACTATACCACCAGAATGATATACCATATTGGCCTGATTATAGGGTGATCTTGAATATAAGGCAGCCCCCATTTTCAAAAACCATGGGAAGGAAAAAAATTGAGTGTCTTAATGTCTTTTTTTTAGGTCCACAAAATAAATACTATAACTGAACAGCCTGCAGGTGGATTAGTTGCAAGAATTAGCAATGACCTTGAGCAAACATCTTGCTCGCGTGTATAGATGGATGCTATTTGGACTTTCAGGAATGCAACAAGCTAGAGTAGGGGGAAGGAGCCTGTGGTTAGCTGTGACTATAAGATGACTATAAATTTTACAACCTAATTATTAATCAGAATCATCGTCAAAACATTTTCTTGAGCATTTGCTTCAGAAAATTTACTGATAGCACATGGAAATTCTTATACTTTTTTTTTGGACTAATCAGATCTGGTCAGTAAATTGCCAAATGCTAAATTTTAATTCAAACTGAGCATTTGTACTGTACATACACATACTGCAGGTAATGATAAAAATTGTTATGGGACATAAAGCCTTATGTGAATCTTTTTAACCCTCTGCACGTAGGTAGGATTTATAATGTGTAAACTACGACATTTTACATTGAACATTGTATTATATGTTTGGTGTAAGAGTTATCAAAAATTCATTTTATATTAACTTGCTAATTTAGTGACATTTCACAGCAGAGGATAGTAAATACCAGTTACAATAGCCAAAAATACTGAAAAAAACTGAAGATATAAATTTCATAGATCCTAGAGGTTATGTAAATGTAATATACAAACTGTTCAATGGATGAAAGTATTTTTATTCTTCACGTGAACATCATCTTGCACTCTGACTTGTAAGACTAATGTAATCAATTCCCTGACACATCACGTATACAAATACTTTTGTGACACCTGATTTTTTGTATACAAGAGAGTTGTACATTTTACTGAATGCTTGCCTAATTTCATGTAGATATACTTAATAAATTGGCAATTATAGTCTACATCCTTCACCAATAGAGGGTTAGTCTAATGGACCAGGCTCATGCACGTTTGGTTAAAAACCATGTTTGTATTGAATAAGTTGTGTGGACAGGATGTTATTATCTTCTTACTAGAAACCTGTAAAAAGGACCAGTAAGGAAAGATATACTAAAACACTTAATGATTTGTTCATTATTTTAAGACATGATTTTATCAATGAACAGAACATAGTGAATATCTGACATAATGCAACTTAACGATTTGTTCGTTATTTTAAGACATGATTTTATCAATGAACAGACATAGTGAATATCTGACATAATGCAACATAACGATTTGTTCGTTATTTTAAGACATGATTTTGTCAATGAACAGAACATAGTGAATATCTGACATAATGCAACTTAACGATTTGTTCATTATTTTAAGACATGATTTTATCAATGAACAGACATAGTGAATATCTAACACAAACTGAGTTAATCAATGATAAACATGATATTTAAAAATGTTCACATTCTTGGACTACAGATAAAACTTTATTCATCAAAATCTTGTTTTACATCTTATCAAAAGTACAAACACTGAGTTAGAAAAGTTTGAAATTGCAAAGTAAAAAAAAAGAAGTGATATCAAACTTTTTCTTAATTGATTGTGTACTGCAGTACCTTGATAAAAGTGCTAAATGAAATGTTGGATAATAAAGTTTTTGTTGTATTTGAAGTCAAAAGTTGTAAACGTTTTTAAATATATCAAAAACTCTGTTCTGTTTTTATTACAGTAATTAAAAGAAAGGAAGATAGGAACATATGCTACTGACTGATTTGTTTATTAAGAATATTTTGAGTTGATATGTTTTTAAGCATCTGTCACAAAAATATTTGGTTGGTGTAAACATTTAACCCAATCTAATACATTCATAAATGACAACACAAACAAACTTGTTCAGTATCAACATCTTAATATTTGACACAGCAATTTGTTCAGTATGAATATTCAAGACAAAATAACTTCAGTAAAATAAATAACGTCAGTATTTAATCTGTAGTTAGGATTGTTTTTAGAAAGTGTTGGAAAGCTCGAATAGTCTGAAACGTACATGTTTGTTTATATATTCAGGTACTGTTGTACAGAACCAGGTTTGCCTTGATTATAGTGCTGGATAATGAAATAAAAGTATATTAATAGCCTTCACACAACCAGTTGTTTTTTTTATGGTAGAGGTGTAATGTCAAATTTTGAGTTTAAGAAATGCATTAAGATGTGACAAGGAAGCCAGTTTTTTCTTTGTTCTGGTACTGGATTATGAAATAAATGTGTGTTAATGTTATCCACACAGCTAGGTTTTTGTTATGGTTCTATGGTTCTGTTATGGTTATGAAATAAAAGTGTATTTAGCAACATAACAGACACTTGTAATTTTCACCGTTTTCAACACTAGTTCATGAAGTAAAAAAGTGAGAGTTTTTGGTTTATTTTCAGAATCCTCTCAGCAAATTAATTGGTGTGTTGACAGAGATTGGCAGATATCAATCGGTAAATTTTTTTTTAGTTTAAGGAGAATATTTAGTATTTAAATTGTATTTTTGTGTGTGTGCAAATGGAGAAATGAAGCATGTCTATCATATTTGTAACTTTCTATGTGTAACAATGAATACATTTTTTAAACCTACTGTTCAAATGTATAACATTTTGGTGTTAGAATGGATGAACACAGATATATAATAGTGATAACGTGTGATGATTGCTTAATATAATTTTGATTCCAGAAATAAAGTTTATGCTATTAAATGTTAAAATAGTGAAATGAAAATGTGATGTGTATGCAATAACAAACTTTGTTTTAAGAAGAAGTAATTGCAAGAAATAAAATTGCTTCTCAGAATTATGTTAGGTAGTATTTGGTATAGTTTTGTAAATACAAGTAATTTTTTCAGTGATTATTGTTTATACGTCAACACAGATTAACTCAACTAGAATTTAGAAAGAATACTGGTAGTCTTTTTTTGTAGTCAACTAAATTAATAAAGAATAAATCATAATAAACGTTTTTTTGTTACTAAAAGCTTTTTTTTGTAAATATTTTAAGATTTTGGTCGATGAGGCACAGCAATCCACTGTTAAGAACTTGAGTGATTTTATAAAAAAGTAAGTGTTTAGAATTTTTTTTTTTTATATATAATACCAGCTATGTGAATGAAAAATCTGGGAATTTCATAAACTTGTTTCTATATATCAGTAACAAAAACAAGTGTTTGTAAGAGTGGATTCTGCAAATAGTTGTGTTAACCTAAACCTTTTACAAAAGATGTGCTTCTGAAGTTTGAGAAACTCTGTATTATACTTAAAGTTTTTGTGATTAGTGAGACAAAAATTTTGATAATTTAGGTAGTGCGTTTATTAGTTGTTTGCAGTTAATTTATAAAGAACTGTTGTAAACCCTGGCAGTATTTTTACAGTTAGTTTGTATTATTAATAATATAGTTAATATGTTCTTTAATTGTTTACAGTAAGTTGTCCAGGACTTGTTAACATAAGTAGTATGTCCTTTAGCTGTTTACAGTTAGTTGTCCAGGACTGTTGTTAACATAAGTAGTATGTCCTTTAGCTGTTTACAGTTAGTTGTCCAAAACTGTTGTTAACATAGGTAATATGTTATTTAGCTGTTTATAGTTAGTTGTTCAGGACTGTTGTTAACCTATGCAGTATGTTCTTTAGCTGTTTACAGTTAGTTTATAGAGAACTGTTGTTAACATAGGCAGTATTTAATCTATCCACAATTATTTCTAAATTGGGTGCTATGTTTTTATTCAACTTGTCTGAACTCTTGTTAGTTTAGAGAGCATGCTCTTAAGTTTATAGGTATTTACAGAAGTGTAATTTTGTGTAGGTAGTAAGATATTTGGTTATTGTGAATGTAATTTTTTTAATTCGTTGCATTTAATACATGTTTACAGTTTTTGTGTCTTTTATTAAATTTAAAAGTACTTGGATTACTGAATGTTTCATTATTTTAAACTCAATTCTAACATAAGTGGTATTTTTTTTTCTAGTGATATCCAACAGGTAAAAGACTGCAAACGAATTTTTGAGAAGATCAGTGATGAATATGACAATGCATTATTTCGCCACTCACAAGTTCCTAAAACCAGACCTCATGAGATTGAAGAAATTGGTAATCTGTTGAAAGCTACTCGTTCTTGCTTTCAACATGCTGCACTTGATTACACTGCCCAAGTGAGAAACAAAGTTTTGACACTTGACTTTGTAATATCATGTTGTGTAATTAACAATTTGGTGCTGAAAGTAGCACTTTGCACCTGCTTAACACTTACTGATGTACCACTGGTCATACTTTGCACAATGCATGTTTTGTACTGTTGGTTAAATCTCAATTTCAGGAAAAGATTAAGAATTTGAAAAAATTCTCCTCTAAAAGCCCAAGAAGTAAAAAGTGAACAAGAATGGTAGGGAGATAATTCATAATTAGTTATTTGCAATAACAAGTCTACTTTGAGAAGATGCAAATTATAAGAAATGTTAACAAAATTTGGCACATTATCGGTAAACATTACAATGCTTTCATACACAAAATATCAATTTTTTTTATTAAGTCTTAAGGTTTGTAAAGCAATGTTTTTCTAATG